AAAAGGTTGGAGAATCTGTAACTGCACGAGTTGACACATCTGTGGTAATACAAGTCCTGATACAGCCCTTATGTTGTTTACTAAAAGGTTATTTCAAAGACAGCAGGATGGTTTTATTGAAGCATTATTATTATCTGAGTTCCAAACAATATTTCCATAGAACCATTTTACCATAGCTGCAGATCAGGGTGTGTAATGCTGTATAATACAACTGGGCACTGACCTCTGATCAGACAAGAACAGCCTTGTTCAACCCTCAGGATAATTATTAAATTATATGACAGGTAGTCTCTGCCTACTGAAAGGTTATTTTAGGATACGTCAAGTAATTATGTAAAATGAATGTTAATTAGCGAAACAAAGAAACATAAACAGGATTAATAAATAAATAAATAAATGAAAACAGCATGATTTATTTATTAATTTATTTGGTAATGAAAAATTGCCATGGAAGTTCACAGCTGTTGTCATGTACTTCCTGGTACAGAACCAATGACAGCATCGGAAAAGGGTCACGTGTTCAGGCAGCGCCGTCAGCGTGCTGCTCTTTAGACCAGAGTTTGACGGTGCTGGTGAGTGATCAAAAACATGTTGGTTTAACTCTTTGATCAAAACATATAGTTAGTTGCCAATGTTTTGCTGTTTATATGAAATAATACTACTATGAATTCCGATATTGCGCCTGGAAGTTTGCATTTTTGCACTATACAACACCAGACCACTTGCTTATGTAACTTCAGTTTTGTTACAGTTTAAGATCAATAGACAGCGACACTGATTAAACTTTGTCTACTCAGCTATTCTTACCACGTGCCCACATTCATTAGCCTACATACTTCCTTAATTTCTTGCATTTTGGTTGCTGATTCTTCTCCGCCATGACTCTGTGGCTTTTTTAGTGTTTATAATGCCTCTATAAATGTTGCAGTGATTTTTACTCAATTTGTTAATGTTCCACTTGCAAATGATGTAGGCTGATGATGATTTAATGCTCATTTGTTTCTCCTTCTTCCCAGGGGAGAGGGACCATGGGCCGCCTAGATGGAAAAGTAATTGTGTTGTCTGCAGCAGCACAGGGGATTGGACGTGCCTCTGCAATAGTAAATGCTTTATAATATAATTTTGTATAATATTACATTAGGCTACTAGCAGCTCATTTATTGCTGATATTACACATGGCCCTAAAATTGGCAGATTTTGTATCTGTCAGATAACACTTAAAAAACTAATTTGTAAGTATTGATTGAGGAATTGATATAACCACTGTTTGAAAAGGAGGAGCAAAGGAAACACCTGACGCCCTCCTTACTAGGCTAGATGGGTTTATAATGTGTTGTGTTTGCAGAATTATTCTTTTCTCTCTTTGTTTTAACAGTGATTTATTGATTTATTGATAATATATTGCACTTGCACAACTTGACAGGCTTTTGCTAAGGAAGGTGCCCAGGTCATAGCAACAGATATTAACGGAGAGAAACTGAAAGAGCTGGATGGAATACCAGGTAAAGTATCTGGTGGTGTTATAGTGTCGTCTGCTGGGCAACCAAAGTACTGCATTTATTTCATTATAGGCAAAGTTTCCTCATGCTTCCCATTCACCCTATATACTGCATAATACTATTACATACATACAGCACGTCTCCTTTATTTAAACCACAAAAGAGAGAGGGAGAAAACTAAAACCTACAACTCGAATTATTAATTTGAATTAAAAATTTGTTAAAGGGATTCGGACCAAGATTGTGGATGTTACAAAGAAAGACCAAGTTGAAGCCTTGGCAAAGGAACATGACCATGTAGATGTGTTATTCAATGTGGCTGGGTGTGTATAGTTTTATAATAATTATTGTTATTATTATTATTATTATTGTTTTTCTATTATAATAATCATTTGTTGAGTTTCCTGTGATTACTATTCTCAGGTTTGTTCACCATGGCTCTATTTTGGATTGTGAAGAAGCTGACTGGGACTTTACAATGGATGTAAATGTGAAAAGCATGTATCTCATGTGCAAAGCTTTTCTACCTAAGGTATATTTAGTATAATTTTTTTTCACACTTCTGGTGTGATATGTGTTAAAGTTAACTTTTAAAATCCAGCGCTGCTACTCAGTTACTGCCATAAATGTTCAGATCAGCAGACTAGCAAACCGAAGTGTGCACTAGGGCATCACAGATAAAAACTACTCCTCAGATCAATACTATTGTGGTGCAACACTTTACAGCATTAATCTGTCTGTAAATTGCAAATGGTTGTATTCTAGAGAGAGTAAGCAACCCCCATATAGACCAATAATACTGGCCAACTAATAGCTCTGTTTTACATAACACTAGAATTAGGATGAAGTGACATATGCTTTTAATTAGTTGCCATCCATTGTCCTCTTGGATTACCTGTTTCAGTTAGACATTATGAGTGGTGACCGTTCACCAACTAATCCAGTCTCTAATCTAAGCCTCAAGACAGCAAAACCAACAGCACAGAGTGAGAAAATTAGAACGGCGAGGCATGGCATTATGAACCCATATAGCTCAAGTGCTGAAGGTATGAGAGATAACCTAAAAATAGCCCACATGCAATTAACATTAGTGTGTTACTCTAATACACTAATAAACACTATTAACTTCCCAAAATTTTGATGAAGAAATGTGCTGCTCAGTGTATAGCCCCAATTTATTTCTGTGTGAAATGCCCTGTTTCTTTCTTTTATAGATGTTGGAAAAGAAGTCAGGAAACATCATTAATATGGCATCAGTGGCATCAAGCATAAAAGGTCACTAGGTCACTATTGTCTTGTTCTTATGTTCATGTTCAGCAGCATTAAGTTGTAGAAGTATGAGCATGCTCATTGTAATCCTCTTATCTCAGATAACTGCCTGTTGTCTATGTGTGACTGACATATGTTCCCTCTGCACAGGTGTTGTTAACCGGTGTGTGTATAGTACCTCTAAGGCCGCCGTCATAGGCTTCACCAAGTCCATAGCTGCTGACTTTATTGAGCAAGGCATACGTTGCAATTGTGTGTGTCCTGGTAGGTGTAACTCTTCCCCATAGAAAAACATTGCACATTTTAAAAAGAATCCAGATATGAGATTTGAACAATAAAAAAAGCACTTTTAAGTTTAAACTGACTTTCTTACAAAGTACTATAACTGAAATGCCTAAATAATTATTGTTTAGGTACTGTTGACACTCCATCACTGAGGGGAAGGATCCAGGCTCAACCTGACCCTGAACAGGTACTGGGTATTTGATAACAGTTATTCTAAAAGCTGCAATACTGAAAAATATATAACATATTTACAGGCATACAAGGACTTTATGGCAAGACAGAAAACTGGCAGAATGTGCACAGCTGAGGAAGTTGCATACTTGTGTGTCTACTTGGCGTCTGATGAGGTGACATATTTTTTGTGTTATTGACCACACTGTTACACTATCCAACACCCAGTGATAAAAGAGTACTGCAGATTTGTACTCAAGTTCAAGTACAGCTTCATGGTTAAAAAACAAACTCAATTACAAGTACAAATACTGTTTCCAAATTGTAGGTTACTTAGGTAAAAGATAAAAGTACACATGAAAAATACTTGGAATACTACTTACTAGTCACTTTTTAACAGATTTTTAGCACCATTATGATCAGTATTTTACATAGATTAAACAGTACCAACGCTGAATTTGGTCATTTTGAACCTAAAATCTGCATATTCTCTGAGCTCTGTCTAATCAGAGCTCAGAGAATGTGTGTGTTTGGGTTTAGAAAGGAGCAGATAACAGCAGTAGATTGTGAGGCAGCCGTGGATTGGGACGACTGGAACTTGAGCTGTACTCACTAATCAGATGATTTTAAATGTAGGCCTAAATAATTACAATTACATGGTTAGAATTATACTCAATTACAAGTACAGAATTAAAAATCAACTTAAAAGTGTAATTTCTTAAAAAAATCTACTCGATTACAGCAATGTGAGTATTTGTAATCAATAATTTATTTGTAATTTATATGCGAACACCAAATATATTACACAGTAGGCCTATGAATATCCACTACACACACTTACATTGTAATACACATAACAATGACCTTTTTCTCTAATAACCCAACTCTTGTCTCTACAGTCTGCTTATGTGACAGGAACCGAACATATTATTGATGGTGGATGGAGACTTTAAGAAATCACTGTTTGCCTTGGCAGCTGTGGGTGCTTTTGTGTCCTTTGTCAGGAATAAAATGCATACAATTTAAATAAATAAAATTCAATACTTTTGTTTAGTGGTGTTTATTTAAAATAATCTCTGCTGCTATTGTTTATTTATACAATAAGACGTGTTAGTTGGAGCTGCTGAAGTTTTAATACAGCCCCTCTCTGCAAACACTTGTTAAAGTGGTGCCTGGCCATCACTAATCCGCCTTATTCCCATTGACCAGCTGGTGAAGGTTTTCTGCCATAACTCAGCCGGGGAGCGTGCGCCGGACGCCAGCGACAATGTTCTTCAAGTTTGGAGGTGAGGTACATTATTATTTTTCACTAGTTTTGTTCGCAACTATGGGACTTCTCTAAAGGCTAGTAGGGAGTTTAGCTAACACACTAGCTTTTCAAACGATTTGAAATGCACACACTTTATACACTAGACCAGACATGTACAATCTTTTTCCTCTAGTGAGCAACATTTAAAAAACGAATATGTCAAAGAACTGTTCATTTTAGCGTTCACAAGAAACTGAGGAAGTAGAAAAGCTATGGCAAGCTTTAGACTGTGTACAGTTAAGATGCCTATAACATATAAACCATGATCTATTTATTAGTGCACAAGTTAGGCATCAAAATTACACTTTTACAATGGTAATTAATCAGATTTTAGTTATTAAGCTTGATAAATATAATTCAGAAATCCTTTGGCGAGCTATTTGGAAGAGGTGGAGAGCTGCTGGTAGCGCCCAAGCTACAGGTTGGAGACCCCTGCACTAGACCAATGGCAAAAGGTAGATCCGTGCTTCCAGCCAATAACATCTGAGTCTAGTGTAAATAACCTACGGTGTTGTGTCACTGGAGCTCGGTGCTGTGGGTGTGCAGGCGGCTGCAGAGAGGCGTGCGGCTGCTGCTGCTGCAAACAAGCTACTGTTTATTATGCTACCATGCTACACGTGCAATACAGCTGATTTTACTCACGGCAACTCCCTTATTCAGAGTTTCAAAGGGACCTATCGTCTTGCAAAGTAGGTCCAATCATCAAAATATGGCATTTTAACCACAGGCTTCTTCCTAACATCTATTTTAACCCACTTTAGCTAACGTTAGCACCGGTGCCATATGGCAGAGCTGTAAGCATTGATTAGTGCGGTCCTTCAAAATTGGATTAACAAGCGGCTGTTGCAATAAGCCACTGTCAAAACATTGTAGTAACGTCCTCAAAGAGGTAATAGATAATTTATGACAACATGTCAGTGACCGCAAATAATCGTATAATTTGATGCAACATTTCTGTTACATCAAAATTGTTAGCTACTGTAGTATTTTGATATAACTAAGCTTGAACGAATACCATTACCAAAAGCACCTCAGAAAATGTTTAGTCCTCTGAGAACCACCAGATCTAAACCAGATCTACACCAGGTCTAAACTAGGACTAAACCAGATCTAAAATAGGACTACACCATTACTGCAGAAGTCTAAGTCTAAACAAGGACTAACCCAAAGGAGGAGAACAATGTGGAAAAAACTTACTTTGAATTAAGTCAACACTGGATATAAAGGGGTCTCCACATAGCGTAAGGACATGTTGGCATCCCTCCAATAGTAGGCTATTCGTACCACAGTTTGAGAACTGCTGAACCATATATTTTCCTTTGATAAGGTCTGCTGTGTGAATGAACAAAGGTTAAGGCAGGACACAATTTGAAGAGACAGCCCTCCATGGCCAACTCCTCCCACTGGATTCATGTACTGGATTAATGAGAGAAGTGAAGTGAGTGGACCTGAAATTCTGTAGCAAACTGCCATGGAGGAGAATGAAGCTAAACCCCCGAGTCCTGAACCTGCACCTGCACCACCCAGTCCTGCCCCCAGCAGAGCTCCCAGTCCTGCACCTAGCCCTCTGCTGGAGAAACTCGCCTCTGCAGCCAACCATGTCGAGGTAAGCTCTGTTGTGATGTGTTATCATTTTTGAACATGTATGGTCTTTACTAAGATATTATTCTACCCGAGATTCCAGGGCCAGTCACTGATTTAGACTTGATTGTTACTGTTTGCAGCATTTAAATGTGAATCAGATCCAGGTGGTTGTTCGGCGCTGTTCAACTCCAAATGTCACAGAGGAGACCACTTACTTCATTCCCCGTAACCCGGTGGTTGACGCTGGCACCAACACGGACCCACCAGTAGTCTGTTGCCCTTTACTGCACAGATTTTGTCCCTGTCCACCAAGTGGGCTCTGGGCATCTCTTGTTACCAAAGGTCTGTTTTCTTTAAAAAAAATAAAATAAAAATTGTACATTTTCTGAAATAATTATTGCCAAAGTGTATAATATGAGTTGTATGTGTATTTTTTGCAGTACTTTTGGCTGGTGTTCTGTTTGGAGTTGTTTGGTCTATCACAGAAGAAGAATGTCTCCCAGAAGGGAACCTGTTTGGCATTACTATCATCTTCCTCTGTGCCCTAATAGGAGGCAAATTAGTTGAACTTATACGTCTTCCAGGCCTCCCACCGTTCCCCCCTCTGCTAGGTATGATATAATGTTTACAGTAAAGGCTAAAACTAGTAATAGTTTTAACGATGTAATCCTTCACATTTCAAACATGTTTATACTAGTATACAAACTAATCTAGTGGACTCTCATAAATTGTTGTATTATGATATGACATTTGAGATATGAGATAGATAATAAGTAATCCAAGAAGTCTGGACCACTTCAGAATCCTAAACCAAGTAGGAGTGGGATGAAACAAAATGTTCACAAGACAAGACGACACACGAGATAGGGTCCACGGGAACGAGACGAGATTTTGAAATAATTTACAATAATCTGATCTTGTTATAAAAATAACCAAATTAAATAATTTTCATCCTATACAAGGCCTATTTAAACACCTTTGTAAATCCCCACATGGATCACTACTTATTTTTTATAATATACTTAATATACAATATGTCTGTTACACTTCATTTTTATTATTTAAATGATTGGACTAAAACTGGACCTACTCCTCTGTCGCTCCAGCTCCTGTCCCTTCTGCTGCTCTTTTACGAGCAGGTGACCAGGGACTCAGGACGCGCTTCTCTCTCCTTTTTTTGCTTTAAACTAAGTTATGGATGAAGAAGGCTTAAATATTTCTTAGTGGATCTTTTTCAAACAATGGTTAAATGAGGAAACACACTGCATTTTCTGCGCTGTTCACGGGTAAATTAGACGCGCGTATATTTCATAAAAATTTTAGCGATCTTCTTGTACAAACTTTAGCACTGATTGTTTTCGTTAATATTGGTCCTATCACCACAAAATAAAAAACTGGGGCAAAGTTTATAGTGTTCTTTGTCTGAATATGTGAGCTACAAGTCTCTGTGCATGAGTCTTTCAGCTAGAGCTGCTCAAATATACTCAGAGTTTGAGTGAGGCACGTAACCCTTTCATACCTGTGTCAGATGTAAAGACAATGGATAAAATTTCGCACATTGATCTCGTGAGATCTTGTCCCATCCCTACAACCAAGGTAAATGCTTAAACGTGCATTGTGTAACTTCTGTATAACTTGGGTCTGTCACCTACTTGTTTCTATGGATCTGTCATTGCTCTGCCTAGAATGTTTTAAAGTCTGGCATTAAACAGCTTTATCTTACATTTATTAAATTACAGGTGTTTTTTTTTTAGCTCAAAATACCAAGAAAAACAAACATTCTGACTAAGAGAGCGGGGTTGCCTCTTCACAGATCTGACCTGTCACTTAGTCTGATTTTGTCTCCATGATGAAATCATGTTTTAATGCCATACTGTGAAACATTTCAGACAAAGCAATAGCATCTCCTTGAAGAAAAGTATTCGATAGATCCTCCACCAGAAAAGTTACACAATGCACCTTTAACTCAAGAGTTTGAGCTGCAAATGTCAGCTGCACTTTCTCAATCCCATACTGAGTGTTCCCATCTCATATGTCGAATCAAAACAGCACTTCTACTTTATTAGCAGCATGTTGTCTAGAGCTCAGCGAAAGGGAAACCTCAAGAATAAATGTATCTCAGTAAAAGAATCATGTTTCTCCCCCTGTATGCTATAGGTATGTTGCTGATGGGTTTTTTGCTGAGAAACATCCCAGTTGTAACACAAGCGGTACATGTGAACTACAAATGGTCAGCTGCATTAAGGAATATTGCTCTGGCTGTGATCCTTGCCAGAGCAGGTCTGGGCCTGGATCCATTGGTAAATGATTGTAATATTGTATTGTTGTATTTACATTACTTCCTGGGATCTGTAATTCTTGATTTGTGTCCTCATAGGCATTGAAGAAGCTGAAGTCGGTTTGTCTGAGGGTATCAGTAGGTCCCTGTATGATTGAGGCTTGCACCATTGCACTGGTTTCTCACTTCCTCATGGGTCTGCCCTGGGTGTGGGGCTTCATACTTGGGTAAGTTAAACACAGAATGACCTTTTCCATCACCATTATATGATTATATTTTAATAAAATCTCTTTTACTTTGTAGGTTTGTGCTTGGTGCTGTGTCTCCAGCTGTGGTTGTACCCTCCATGTTGCTGCTACAGAAGGAGGGATATGGTGTGGAACAAGGCATTCCCACTTTGCTGATGGCTGCTGGCAGTTTTGATGACATTCTTGCTATCACTGGCTTTACAACATGCTTGGGCATGGCCTTTGCCACAGGTAAACTATATTGCCATGTCTGAAAAAGATAAAGAAAGTGCTGAATCTGTGTCCCAAATTGACATTATCTGCAGGGGAGTGACTATTACGCTCTATAATCAGGGCTTGACAGCAACAGAAAATGTAATATTTAGTTACCTTTTTTTTTGCTGCCATTACTGTGAAGCCCTGACTCTAACATTCTCTGTAATGCATGCATTAATTTATAATCTAATTTGTGACTCAAGATGTGACTCATAATGGCATGAGATAACAAGTTGGCACCCACTGCTCTACAGTCTCATTTTAATATTGTCAAATGGCTATGTGTCACACATACTAAAATGTTTGTTTTGTAGTTTTTTATGGAGTCCACCAGAAGCATTTACGCTATTTCTGTCTATAATCAGTAATATAATCACTGAGTCTTTCTAAATGAATCATCTGGTGTTTGTGTGTTGCTGTGTTTAGGCTCTACCTGGTACAACCTGCTCAGAGGTGTTTTGGAGGTGGCTGGTGGGACTGTCGCTGGAATTCTCCTTGGGTTTCTTATCCAGTATTTCCCCAGTGTTGACCAGGTAAATCCCTCAGCTCTGCTTCAACAGTCTGTTTGACTGGTCGCTTTGAAATATTGTAATGTAATTGTAATGTAATGTTTGCAATTTTGCCTGTTTCTGCAATGGTTTCCTAGAAACACTTGGTGATGAAGCGGTCGTTTCTGGTTCTGGGACTGTCTATCTTCTCCGTGTTTGGCAGCGCTGTGGCTGGTTTTCCTGGCTCTGGAGGACTCTGCACACTGGTGCTGGCATTCCTTGCAGGCATTGGCTGGGGGGCACCAAAGGTGAAGTTTTGGAGTTTTTGCATTTGTTCCTGCCCCAAGCAACTAACAGATAATGCATGTGTGTACTCAGGCTCGTGTGGAGGAAGTTGTCAGTTGGGTGTGGGATGTCTTCCAGCCTTTACTGTTTGGACTCATTGGAGCAGAAATACGGATCGCAGCACTGGAGGGACATGCAGTAGGTGAGACCATGCACACATAAATGTGAACTGAATATATATAAATAACTAAATGTAAACTCAAACTAGAAGGAGGAGGATTTGAGGGTAAAAATTTATCATCATGGAGATCAATGTAATAGTTTGGTGATAATATTACTGTGATTCAGTGCTTCTGTTTAATGCTACTCTATGCTCAAATACTTTTCACCACTCACTCTTCTTATTAGTCAACCTCTGTTAGGCTCTGAGTAACAATTGAATTTAACCAATCACAGTGAAATGTCACAAGAAGAAGATACCTGCAGCATTTTATGACAATATAAAACCACATGTACAGGTGTAGTGTATATGGATATAGGAAGGTTGGTAAACCAGACATTTTGTACAATGCCTGGTGCTTTTAGAGGCACTAGAGGCAAAGTAAATAAAACATCTACTTTGCCTCTACAAGTCAGACTTTTTCTGACTGGTAGGTTTTATTGTTGGATTTTATAAAAAAAAAAAAATAAAATAAAATAAAAAAATCTTTAAAAAAAAAAAGTCATAAACAATTGCTAAAACGTGCAGGTAACAGTCAGAGAATAGGAGCAAGCTGATTTGTCAGTGAAATAAAGAAATGATTCTCAGACTTGCCTAAAGGATGTCTGGTATTCGATAGAAGGCATAGGCAAAGTAGAGGATATTGATAATTTTCTACTTTGCCAGTTCTATAGAACCCCTGGACGTTCTGCAGAATGCCTGATTTCCTTATTTGCATGTAACATAGTAACATAGCTCTTGCCAGACAGGTATGTGTTACCCTCTGAACTGAGTTCTACACATCAATCTGGGATGGCACTGGCTGAAGCTGCACTATCATGCAAATATTTCAGCTGGAACTGAACAAGATGTATTGTGTTTGTGAACTCACAAAAAAGAATTCATCTTGGTGGCAAGGCTAGTAACATAAACAAATCATGATCCCTTCCCTACCCCTTATGCAAGTCACTTCTCATAAATACATCCAATTACAAATTATAAATGACACTACAATGTCTCTCATATATAAAACTGGGCTTGTTCCTGGCCAAACTCCTGGCTGCGTAACCATAGGCAACAATAAACAGTTGAGCGACCACACAGAGAGAGAAGACACACAGACTGTATACCAGACTTTTGACACTTGGCACTGTAACATTTGTGTCATCGCTGGCCTTTTCTGCTTTCTTTCTCTCTCCCGTTCTCTGGGGTATGTTAAAGAGTCAAAAGAGTCAAAGCCACGATAAAGACATCATGTTTTGGTGCTTGTTTCTCAAACTTTTATTTTTATACAGTGAAATAATCATAACAATAAAAATAATGCTGTATTGTTCTGTTGGTTAATGCAATAGTTAATTATTATTATTATTATACTTAGTTTTTTTTTTTTTTACACAGACTATGCTTTGACCCATTGAAAACCTCTAAAAACAATTGCTACATGTAGTATAGTGTATGTTGATCTACTAAAACATACCTCTGTTTATGTGTTTCAGGTCTTGGTATAGCCTCTCTACTCATTGCCTTGCTTGTCCGGATTCTCTTTACGTTTGTGTGTGTTCTGTGTGCTGGCTTTAACTTGAAAGAAAAGTTTTTCATAGCCCTTGCATGGATGCCAAAAGCCACAGTACAGGTAAGGGGAAACATGCACATTTACATTTTCTATGTAAATTCTGGTTTTAACTGAAAGAGGTTATCTTCAGGCAGCTATTGGATCCACAGCTTTGGATATGGCCAGGGCAAAAGGGGATGAACAGCTACAGAAGTATGGCATGGATGTACTGACTGTGGCTGTACTGGCCATCCTCTTTACAGCTCCTATTGGGGCTATTATCATTGGACTCTCTGGACCTCGCCTTCTACAGAAACCCAAAAACTCTTCCTGTGGTGAGCGAGTCAAACCCAATTTATCAGCATATGTCTTGGGTAAATATACATATAAATACAAACTTTCAGCTCAGTGTCCCCATCGGTAGTACTGCTGTAGTACTGCTAGCATGTAGGTTGCTTGCTGTAGACACGTGTTCATATGTCATAGAGTTTGGATATTTTTAGCTGAGCTTTGTTTTCCCTTGTTTTCAAATAGAGCAATTTGTTTTGTTTTTTTACCACTCATTGTACATAATGTGTTTATATTGAGAGACAAAATGCATATTTTTTCTGTCTTTCCCAAGGAACCGCAGCTGGAGTTGATGAGGAAGAGGAGACTCCTATTACATATGAAAGTACTCTCTGACGTAAAGGAGGACCAGGGACAATGTAGAATTTGATCCACATGAACCTGGGCTTTCGTCTTGCTACTAAACGTCTTCTGTATGCGCTATATGTGTGTCTCTGAAGGACACGTCACTCATGGTTTAATTTTAGGCCTTGGTGTTTTCCCGTCCACAGGCTGCAAACAAATGGCTGGCATTATAGTGTCATTACTGCCTGTACAGCAAACAAAAGTTTTATGTCCCAGTGTATTCAAATCCTCATTGAGACTTCATAATGGTTTACTTTTTGTACCACAAAATGATTAACTACAGTGTCATATTATACATGGGACTTGTGACTGCAGTGAGCTGTAGTAAAAACATGTCACATCAATAGCTTTACACTATACTTATGCTTATTTTTTTGTATTTAATTTTTACCTTTTGTTGTTTTGTATTGTGTGATAGTATAAAAAAACTCAGGAGAACAAATGGTTTGCACTGAAAGCTGCTCATATCTCAGTTATTGGTGTAAAATGGAACTACTTCTGCTCAGTGTATTGTTACTGTATTTGTGAAGATGAAGTGTGACTGGTAGATTTGAAATGTATGTTTTATATTTACATTTATTTTCTACAAAATTATGCAGTGTAATTTAAAGCTTTTTTAAAAATTGTTTTAGTCAACTATTTGATACTACTAATAATAGTTTTTAATAAACAATAAATGCTGGTAAAACAAACATTTGGATTTATTTACACAAAAAAGGGGAAAAAAAAACAGTACCTTGTCAATTCAGAATATAAATTGTAGTTCCACTCAAATGTTAAGCATCAAACTTTGCAGCTATTTCACCTGATGATTTTATTTATTATGCATCTGAATATTTGAATTTCTAATTGAAGAACTATAAATGTCAATTTTACTTGAGTAAACTGTAGGCATTCCAGATGTTAAGGGGTCATTTGAATGCAATGAGTGGCGATTGTGGTTGCCCTTAAGCAACACACTAGAGCCTCCAGGTTTGTGCTGGTACTTCCTGAAATTATTGGTTTAATTTAGACCAGATGTAAGGGCATGTCTGTCTCAGTGGTACACAGAACATTTTCACTCCAGCCAGGAATATCAAGCCCACAAGTGATTTTCATATTTCCCTAAGGGGTTTCTTAACCATTTCATAGTCAGTGCACAGACCTTGGCTAGCTCCATGGTCTCCAGGAGTTTCTTTAACTGTGTGTTAACTTTTCCACATGACAGTGAATACAGAAAGGCAATTACTATTTCAAATAGAGATTAATGAGATTATTTCATTTCCTCAAAAATGCTTTTATTTCAGTGACAACTTTTAAATATATAGCTGATGTAATAAACCTTTTTTCTAAAACAAGAAGTTACTCAAACCTGTAAAAATAATAAATTCAGTATAAAGTTACATTGTTATAAACACTCAATAACTTAAATAGATTGCAGTTCGCTGGGATTCGTTTAAGAATGTACTTAAGCAACTTCCTACTGCCAGCATTTTCCTCTATTTTTGGAACATCACAGCATGGGTTGTTACCAGCAAATATCTGTAAATGTATGCTTATTGCGTATATTATTTACAGGATATTAAGATGTATTATGTAAATGTATTAACAAATGGCACACAGACAGTTTGTGGTCCCACTAGGATCAAGACTAAAACAGGCAAAGGCAGAGACAAAAAAGAATAGCCATAAGCTTAACACTATACAGTATGGGAGTGTGTGTGTGTGTGTGTGTGTGTGCGCGCGTGTGTAAATATCAGGCTATTTATTAACAGGACCATCATAAAGGCCATTCAAATTGCTAGGTTTTTGAAAATGTAAGAAGACAACATCCTAACATGAACATTATAAAATTTTCTTTTTGAGTATGAGTGGTCCCACGTTGTCCCCAGTCAGCTCATTGTGCTTTAAGTGTGACTTATCACAAACAGGAAACTAAAAGAGGAAACAACTTTCATTAGCTTAACACTTTCCTGTAGAATTATAATTTGCCAAAAAATATGATGCTTTATAGATGTAAAACATAAAGTCCACATGATACTGACCGTTTTGGAGCGCCAGCAGCGGCAGTAACAGACATTCGCACTATTCAGATCCTCGATGTCTATCTCATTGACCACTTTAGGATTCTCCTTCTGGATTTTGAGGTTGATCAAACTGTCTCTTTGCTTCTTCTTCTTTGGCAGAAAAGGTCGAATGGTGAGATAACCCAATAATGCCAGGATACCCAGAAGAGGCAGCAACCGAAGCCACTCTGAAACTGTAAACAAGACACATGAAGTGGATTAGATGCTTGCAGAACTTTCTGGGCGGGAGTCCATCACCTGAATGTTCCACAATATGACATTAAACGACTCCACCTTACATTTATTCAACTGCAAGTGTTTTTAAAGTTCAAAAATACACAGAAAAACAGGCATTCTGACTGTGGGCAGGCTGCCTCTCCACAGATCTGAGCTGTAACTTGCGTGGTCAGGTTTGTTCTCCGTAAAAATAGAAAGGTTTAACACAATACTGTGAAATATTCCAGACAAAGCAATAAGATCTACATGGAGAAAAGCATTTGACAAAGCCTCCACCAGAAAAGTTCCACAATGCAACTTTAACATGGCAGTTCATCAGTTACATTTGACAACAAAATTAAAAATAGATTTAATTACTGGCCCCTTAGGGAGATTTTTGGCTGTTAACCATTTAAGAGAAGTTTTCCATTCTCACTAAAGTTGAAGTTATTTCCTTTTTCTACAAGGTACTTTTCATTAATGTTAGCTCACCGTATTATAACGAGCTCATGCATATCAGTAACCAAATAGAACAGGGTTGGATACAGGAAAAGTTTTCAGCTGACAACATTATGCAGGACAGTAAATTTTCACCTGTTAATCGTGCAAATCCACCGATGGATTCAGGCAGCGGGAGCCGTCTGAGATAGGCTGGGAGCTGGACTTTTATTATCCTGGAAATCGTTTCTAAAACCATTCTGAGGCGTTCAATGGACTGCTCTTGAGTTTGGCATGGATAGTTCCTGATGTTCGTTTATGTCATTACGCCAGTTTCGTAGCTGGAGTTCAGTGCGGTGCGTAGATCTCAAAAACACCCAATAAACAACACTGCGCAAAAACCTAAAAATTGCGGAAAGAGGTTCGTGAATACGCGTCACTGCGGTAATGGAGGGAGCCAATCAGCGGTAAAGGACCTGGAGACTTTGGATTGGATGAAAATCGAAATCAATTAAAAGCTTTTCCTTTACTTCTCTAGCACTTTTTGATAGCTTGTCTTTAGAATGCGGTTGATGTGCAAATAGTCTATTTGCACATTTGGACCACAGTCTAGACATGGACTTGTTACATTATTTTTAACCGGTGTCTTCCGCCCATTCAGTAATACAAACAACAATAATAATAATGTGCTATTATTATTACATAGACATTACATATACATAGACATTATATGGGTGAACATGAATATTTTCAAGTTAAAATACGCCTTTATTTTACGTTCATTCTGCACCACGGGTTGAGTTAACGCAAACGTCACACGCAAACTCAATTTATATATAACCAAACCACGTGTTCGACACATTTCAATAGCTTCTAGGTTCGACACAGCATTGCTAGTTTATTTTAATAGATCCACGGGTACTCTGAAGGTACGCTGAAGGTTATTTAATGTAGCTTTGTCGCCCTCTTATGTTCAACTTTGAGAATTTTCAAAGTCTTGCTTCTCGGACTTCATTTCCCATAGTTCATTGCAAGCAGAAGTGTGCCCAGTGTGTTTGCCTTGAAATAAAAATCGATAAAAGCTCAAATTCTACCTCAGTGCGATACGCAGCAATGGTCAGAGTTTAAGATGGGTGTATAGAATTAAATTTTTTACTGTTATTTTGGCGCAAAGTGAATCATATTTACTCATCTTTTGTTTTTCAAGCTAATATTTGAGGCCAACTAAACGACGTGTGTCAGGTCCTCTGGCTCCGGTGTCATTGGTGAGTGACCGAAGATGTCCCATACCAGGTTGTTTGCCAGGCTGCTTCGTAAGTATTTAACTTATTTTAACGTTTGGGTAAATTATAATGTTAAGCAGCATAGTTTATATACATGTGCGTGTCTGTTGATGTTTATTCTAAAGGTCAAAGTTTGTAGGAGCATCATGCTTGACGGGCTGTCAGTCGGTATGCTAGTAGGATTAGCTCGAGCTGCCAGTTTTCTTCACTGATAGTTTGAAAGACAGCTAACCTTGCACCACACCAGTGTCATGCAGTCAAAATATACGTTTGCCCTCAGCTGTGACCTTGTATTTTGGTTTCTGCGTGTCCCTTTACTGCAGTGACTTAATGCTAGCGTTAAAACGTGCAAATTCCTGTGAGAAAATAAACTCTGTTGCAATCTACAACAAGCTTTTAAGCAACTTTTCGGGTGTGTGCATGTGTAGGGTGATCAGACGGTCCTGTTTACATGAGACAGTCCCAGTTTTGAGCCCTGGGTTCCCTGTTCCTGTAGATTTATTCAAAACCATTGATTTGTCCAAGTTTTATACAAGAAATATCCCAGGTGTACCCATATTGACCAATCTGATACCTGCCAACAGTAAAGAGAAGAATGCATTGTAATTTGTCTAGGTAAAATACAGAAAAGCTGCTTAAAAACGACCAAAACACAAGAAAATTTAACTACAGTGACTCGCATGTTATTCACGAATGGGCCAAGTGCAACGATGTTCCTTAATTACACACTCGTTTCACAATTTTATTATTACCATCCACCAAAAAAATCGGGGATGTGTAGTTTTTTATGTTGAAATCCTGGTCACCTGCATGTTGTGCAAGATGTCTGTTTAATACAGTAAACTTAAACATTAAAACTAAATGTAACTGTGTAATGTGTAATCATAACGACAGCATTGATTGTCTCTGAAGTGAACTTTGCACCTTGTGGTTGATAAGTTAAGTCTTCATGGAGAGATGTATTGAGATCAAAGATCGCCTCAGTGTCGATGGTAGGACAGCAGTATAGATTTTGTGCTTGACTCTTGCAATACTCAAACACACGATCAGATACAAATAGGAGGATCTTTTTATGGCTTTTATGGCTTGATGTTGTTTTTGTTGAATTCTGTTCTGTGTCTACTTAAGTCCCATGACCTATGTTCTTAATGGAGTTAGGTTTCCTCACTTGTACTTAGTTATTTTTAGCAGATGAATGGACTGATTGATTTATCTGGTCTTTTGGTTTTAAAGTAGGCCTGTTGTCTCTACAATAATTCAGTCAGTTTATATCCAGGAACAGTACATGTCACACAGCACAGAGCCATAATTAAACAAATCTTCTCCACTAATTTATAATTTCAGCTTCATTTGAATACTACTGTAAACTCTTGACGTTTTGAGATAAAATGCCTGGTACTTTTCTTGTCTGTGTTTAGTGCAGCAGAGAGGAGTGAGGCACTGTTATACGGGATCAAGGAAAAACCTCTACATCAATAAGGACACTAAAGTCATCTGCCAGGGGTTCACAGGGAAGCAGGTTTGTCTCTTTTTCATTTTGTTTAATAAACAGCATATTGTTTTACAGGCTTCTAATGGCTTTTGAATTTATTTAGCTCTCACCAGTAAACACCAGTAATAATAATAATCAGTGATTGTAATTACTGTATGGTTGTTTAGAGTGACACCCTTCTGAGTTATTTGTATTGTAACACATTTGGATAATAGTTCTTAGAAATGTATGTAAAAGTGTCACATGAATATTACATTAATTGGTAAATGTCTATGAATGAAAGATGCTTTTAAAAACACTCATATTAATCATAATGGTACAATGCAACTGTATGTTTGATCAAATTAAAGTGTATTCTTTAAATGTAGATTAAAACTGCAAAACAACCTTTTTATCTAAAAGAACATATGGGTCAGGGTCAAGCTTGAAAAATGACACTTTTTTTCCCCCATTGCTCCACATCCAATCAAAGAGAGTAGGAATCTTGGCAAGTGTGTTTAACAAGCCATAACCTGTGTCCCTTTTTGTATGATTTATGTCATCTCGCCTGTAACATTTTTTTTTTTCCATTATCCATTTTTATTTCAACATAATGAAAAGTTGTTACGTATAGTCCGAGTGAACACTACATGTAATTAAAAAAGGATGAGAAATGAAGCCAATGCCACTGAGTGCACATTGCGATACCTCTGCCTCGATAAGCAAGGCATCTCTTAGATTGATTGGGTGTTAGTGCAAATCCAGAGACAAAGGCAAAATTCAGTTATGTTAGCAGTATGAATTCATGATATAAAGGGAAAGGTCATATTTTTTAAACTCCTCTAATAGAGTGGTTATGTTATATTAGTTATTTATTTAAATTCCATAACCTAATGCGGGAAGATCAGAGAATGAGCAGAGGATGATCTTGATTTTCAGCATGAGTGTCTCTTAATATTGTAAAAGATATGAATAATAAACAAGTAAAATCCTACAATATGAGCTATATGAATTATTTCTCACCTCAATACCTTTAATTTTTTTTTTATCCTCGAGTTATTAATTTCTACACAGTCTTGATGTTACACTAATCAAACCTCACTCCTTTAATAGCGATATGTTACATTTATGTTTGCAATTTTAATATGGCCACTTAACATTTAACATTATTTAATTACATCCTTACTTCAGCACCCTTAATGTTGAAATGTCTACTTGAAAATAAATGATAAAAGAAATGACGGTGGGTAATTCCCTTGTTGTGTCAGTGAGTGCTTCCCCAGAGCCAGATGAAAAGCATCACTTTGCGAGATGATTCTGTGAAATGTATTTGAACAGTGAGCTCCGCAGGATATCCGAAGCTACATTTGATTTGTTTTGTGACAGTTCTGAAAGCAGATTAAACTGGGTTTACGTCATTATTCATGTGTCAAAAGTTCCCTCTATTTCTCTTGGATATACTTCACTGAATATACGTCACTGCCTACACTTCAGCTTCCTTCTGTCTCTTCTTACTCAGCACAGCTGATTAATCCTGTGTGTCTGCTCTCTGTCTCTGTCTGGAGTCATATCTCAGAGTTGATGCTGCACAAGTAGTTGTAGCTCACTTCATTACACAGTTATTCCTTTGTCTTTCAGGGAACATTTCACAGTCAGCAGGCTATTGACTATGGCACCCGGTTAGTGGGGGGTGTCTCCCCAGGAAAGGGAGGAAAGGAGCACCTCGGCCTGCCAGTCTTCAACTCAGTCAAAGATGTAAGCAGCTTTTTCTGTTCTCTTTTACTTCATTTGAATTCAAGTGATATATCCAAGAATACATTGTGACAACTTGTACTATATGCACATTTTATTTTATTGCTACGTCCCAGATGACATTTAAAGTCTCCTATAGACCTCTGGTAGTGTCACTTAAAGTGCTGCTTTTGAGCTTTAAATGAGACATGGTCCTTCCATATATGCTCAGAATAAGTAACTCTTGATGCAACTGAAGGCACTGTCAACTGAGATTTAGTTCTGATTGCAGTTCCTTTTTTAAACTAGTAAGCATGCATCCTACATACCTTTTACTTTTTAAAGGTGCTGTACCTAAGTTTTACTGCCCCAAAAATGTGAAAAACAGAACTAGCTCATTTCAAATAGTTTACCGTGGACTAAACATGCTCTTCACTTTATTGTCACATTCCTGGCATCCTAATTAATCACAAAGAGTTTGTAAAAGCATTTCAAAACTTAAAAGACCAAAGCACAACTGTTAACTCTCTACCTGCTGATTTTAAAATTTTGTGCATATTCAACATGGTGGGAAAAATGAAAATGCTCCACAGTGTAAAGTATCTTAACCTGAGTGATTGAAGAACAGTTGAATGCTTGCTCAGTGGTGTATTCCTAAATCAACATTAGATGGCACTGTTTCATAACTGTAGAAATATGATCTAGCAGACTGCTCCAGTATTTATTTATTTTTTTTACATTTGTACTCCTCAGGCGAGAGAGGGCACGGGGGCAGATGCCACAGTGATTTATGTGCCCCCGCCGTTCGCGGCAGCGGCCATCATTGAGGCTATTGACGCA